CAAAGGAAGTGAAATTAAACAGACGTCATGAAGGCCTAAAACATTCTCATACCATGAATCTCCAGGTTTACAGGAACAGGAATCTTTTTTAAAAGTTATAAAATACGTGACTTTGTGATGAACATCTGACTTTAGAAGTTTGTGTAAACAACCAAACACAAAACGATTCAATACAAACTACAATCGTGTCATTTTGAGGAGAAACAAAACTCCAACTTGTCAAAAAAGGCGTCAAAGTTTTTCAGTCAGTGAGTAAATCCCACTCGTTATCAAATATTCTGACAAATGAGAGTTCAGCCGCTGTAAGAACGGCCAGGTTGTAACCATGGAAACCTTCACTGCTTTTCCCCTCCCACATGACGTATACACGGCATAAAAAACACAAACACTACAGTGGATACCACATGCTCTTATGTCGGTTGCAATATTTTTTTTTTACTTGTAAATTCTAGAAAATGGAATGAAGAACTCTGACAATACGTGGCCACGAAAGAGATTTTCTCCTCAACCTTTCATCGTCTGCACTCGCTCAGCACATTGTTTTATATCTCGTAATCTGCTGTTGCAAGTGTCCCAAGTTTAAATCACAGTTTGCACTTTAACCGCACGTTCGATGGCCGGTTGTGTGAGAGACGAGCGGCTCTCAAGTGAAGCAAACAAGACTTCACCTCAGGTCTGTACCCAACTGGTTGCTATGGTGACAGTGTTATGTGTGATTATACTTACACTGCCTCTGCCCAAGGCCAAATGGGCGGTGGTGTGTGTGCGGTGTGTGTGTCTATGTATTTAATAGTATAAACAGTGGCTCATCTCCCTTAGAAATGACCTAGTTTCCAAATATATGACATGAATTATGATATAATGCTCCTCATCTACAATATGTGACTGATTATTATTTGGATGCACGCTGTTCACGTTTAGATTTTTCCTTTCTTCACTCCTGTGAGGTTGAGAAGCGTGTTGAGTTGTTGAGTTGTGCCGTTTAAAGCTGCTCTAATGAATATTTTTACAATAACAATGGATCAAATGAGTGAATGATTTACTGCACATTTTTCAGCGGGACACAACGGCCACGCCGCTCTGTTTCTGTTCACTGTTTAAATAAGCCAGTGTTTGCTAACACAGTTACCATGGCAACTTCATAAAGTGATTATACGCTCAGTGACTCTTTACAAGTCACACCTGTACATTGTACTGCAGTACAACTCTCAAAAAAGTACTTTTACCAAATAGCTTTTACTAAAAAAAAGTGTTCTTTTTCTTCTGCATTACTTTTGTCTGAGGCTGTATTTGTTTTATTGAACAATAGTAATAATGATAATCATGTGCAATAATCACCTTCTAGTTTAATTAGAGTGTTTTAATGGATTTCACAGTTATTAAGCCGAGTGTGACGACACATACATTAACTGGACTGTGATTGTCGATCCAGTTTCACAGGCTTTAATGTGAAGGGGATTTCTCTGCAGTATTTTAAAGGTCTCAGGCTGAACGTAGATCTGTAATGAAAGTGTTGGAGCGAATGCTGCGAGATTCATGACCTACGTGTCTGATGTAAGTTGTAGTTTTCAGTTGCATCCCGGCATCGTATGTTCTCAATTAAAGTCATGACGTGTATTTTCTTCTCTTTTCCTCTGAAAGCTGAAGCCTTCTAACTTGTAACTGCTCACAAGCCATTTTTTCTTTGTCCTCGACTGAACATACTTAGCAACGGCAGCCAGTTGTCTTTGTGTCTTCCCAACAAGAAAGTAGGTCATACTTACAAGAGGCACTTAAAGTTAAGAGTTACTATATTTAGATGGAGCTCTGTTCCCTCTGACAGTTTCTAACGTTATACCAGACTTTGCTTTGTTCAAAGATAAAACATTTTCCTGCTGCATCACTGTGTTTTAAAATGACTCAAACTTTCCTCTGAGCTGGACAGTTCATGAGCCGCAGCGATACAGTGAGTGGAAAATATAAAAACTGCTTCAAGTATCAATGCAAGATTGATTGTGGACTTTTTCTTGTGAGCGGAACGACTAGGGGGCAGATTATTACGAGCTTTGGGGCAAGTTAGTTATTTTGGGCCACTGCTTTCACACTTATATAAGAAATAGCATTGATTCAGAGCTGCAAACAAACATTATCCAGTTATAAACTATCGTTAGTCAAAGTGAATCAGTGAGTTAGACAGAGTGTTTTCTACAGTCAAAGAATATTATATATTCAGATGACTCATTAAGCTGAACAAAGAAACTAAAGGTTAAAGAGTCTCTGGGATGAATAATAAAATCTAAAATCTCGGACTCTCTCAGAGTGAGTTTGTGTCGGGGAGCGATGTTTATGACTGTGGCTGTGAATTTTCACAGGAAAGGGAGGGAGGAGGCGTGGAGGGGAGGAAACAGGATGACGACAGGAAGGAAGCAGCAGGACAGGAAAGGGTGGGGCTGAATAGAGACAAATGGGTGGGACAGGAAGGACAGATGTGAAGAGGGAAGGAGAGAACACCACTGGAGGATTTGCTGCGTATGCATGTTTTTTTTTTTCCCACCAACATCCTTCATCGATCAGCTCTGTTCATTCAGTCATTATTAATATTTAATGAGCTCACACATCCACCGAGGCCCAACTGTCCCCTCACACTCTGTCACCGCACGTCTATAAAACCCAGAGGTTTCTCAGATATCTCTGCAAATAATAATAATATATAGAATTAATAATTAGTCAGAACATTGTTCCTCGTGTTGAGTGACGTCATGTCGAGGTATCGCTGCATCTCTTGACCTCAAGTTTCTAGAGATTCAGTTATTTTTTGCAGTACTCGGTTGTGTTGTAGTACTCTGTTGTGTTGTAGTACTCTTTTGTGTTGTGGTACTCGGTTGTTTTGCAGTAGTCTGTTGTTTTTCAGTACTCTGTTGTTTTTCAGTACTCTGTGTTGCAGTACTCTGTTGT